GCCTGGACGCCTTCCTGTGTGATCTCATTTAGGTTCCTGCTCTGGCAGGGGATTGGACTGGATGATCTTTCGAGGTCCCTTCCAGTCCCCAACATTCTGTGATTCTGTGTAATATTCTGACTATGAAGAGAAAACACCTTTTTTCTAGTAAATGCAAACATTCATCATCAAAGAACACTGCTGCACGTCACCCAGGGCTGAATTCCGACCAACCAGGCATGGACTAAAGAGTTCTGACGAAGATTATATGGTAATGCGGAAAAAGCCACGGTGAAACACTGAGGACTATCCTAGATTGGATCTGAGGAAAAACTTCTTCACCAAAAGGGTTCTCAAGCACTGGAACAAGCTGTCCAGGGAGGTGGTGGAGTCACCTTCCCTGGTGGGATTTAACAGACAGGTAGACGAGGTGCTTAGGGACATGGGTTAGAGATGGAACTGGTAATGTTGGGTTCATGGTTGGACTTGATGATCTTAAAGGTCTTTTCCAACCACTACAATTCTGTGACTGGCCTTTGTTTCCAACCAGCCTGGATGAGGCCCTCTCTTGAGGCAACAGAGCCAAATCACCTCTCGTGGACTGTCAGCTAATGTGTCTCAGACCAGAGAGCCACCTGCTTCTCCTCAACTGCTCGACAGTCATACTCCTCAAGGACAGGCAGACGGGCCAGACCCAGGGCATGGCCACCTGCCTGCGGCCCTGTGAGCCCAAACACCACCCTAAACCACATCCAGAGAGTTGGAACCGACTACAAGCACAAAGCTAGAGTGACAACATAGCTGGGCTGCGATCAGACTTCAGTCACTCCTTCCCCAAAAGCATTGTCTTTACACACACAAACTGGAGAGTCGTTAGGAGACTCCTTAATTGAGCAGCAGTACATGTGATGTGGATACAGGGATAAATGACTTCTCCTCCTGCAAGGTCCCCACTTCTGAACCTTGGGCTGGTCCCTCTGTCCCAGGAGTCCCTCTGCTGTGAGCTTTTCCAAGTTGTCCCAGGCTGTGCACTCCAGATTGGAGAACAGTGTTCTCCTAAATAAATCCTCAGTAAAACACATTGACTCTGGGTCCAGAGCAGAATTCAGCAGAGGAACGCGGGGAGCTTTGTGACCATTAACTTCTTCCTCTGTCTAGTGAATCCAAACACCCAAGATCAAACCCAAGATGAAGGGAGAAGCCAGGAAGAGCCCCTGACACTGCAATAACATTGACGTGGCAAGCTGCAGCACTCAAAATAAACTGGTTATCTTGATGACAAGTATTCTGGAGAGGCAGCAGAGCTGCAAGTCCCACGGCTGGTTTGCCTCTGGCTACAATGGCAAGAACAAGGAGGAGATCCAAGAAAGCACGGGCTCGGGGAATTCACCTGCTCCAGTAGTAAGCCACACTTGAGCAGGCACTGCAGCTCCTGAGCTGAGCACTTGCTAAAGAGTCCTGGAAAGAGGAAGCAAAAATCTGTCCAACACCTGAAGGCAGCCAGGAAGCAGTCGTGCGGAGAAGGCAACAGTGCTCGTGCAGTCCCCTCACCTCCCAAGTTTTAACAACTTTCCCTGCCTTCCCCTTCCTGAGGAAGCAGGTTTATCACAAAGCACCTCACTTCCCAGAAGCAACAACATCAGCAGGTCCCTGGAGAATCCCCCTGTGCCTACCTTGGCTTGGACGGCGTAAGAGGCCAGAAGGACAGAAGCTTCAGGAGGACAGTAGATCTTCTCATCCAAAATCTGCTTCTTCACCTGCACGTAGCAATAAAGGACACAAAACACCGAGTTAGCAGAGCAGGTCACAGCAGATGGTTGCAGTTTGGTTTAACTCAAGCTGTCAACCACACCGTTAACAATTTTCCTACATTAATTACAATTCAGGCCCAGGAAGTCTCTGGTGGCTGGGAAGGGAAGGGCTCAGGACTTCATGGGCCACCTTTCACAGAATCACACAGAATCACAGAATATTAGGGATTGGAAGGGACCTCAAAAGATCATCTAGTCCAATTTCCTAGACAGGATTGAGAGAAAAGCGAAATGTATATGTGGAAAATAACAGAACCTATATCCCAATGCTAAAGGCAAGGGGTGGAAAAAATCTTGTGTGTAAACACAGAGATCAAACCCCTTAAGGCACAAGCAATGGATTGATACGACACCTAGACACACCACTAAATTAAAAAAAGAAGTTTGCAGCTGAGTCTCTGAGCACACAAAGGTTTCACTCTGGGATATTCAGGTCTCATTATGAGTCAGTGCTCACTGTGCTGGAGGCTCATTCCCTTCGATCCCATCAGCAGCAAGGGGAGCTGCAGGTCACCTCCGTGGCAGTGCTTTTAGCAGCAGGCAAAGCTCTGCACACACTCCCAGGAGAGCCAACGTGTAGTTCCCAAAAGCCACAGCTTTACGTTTCCTGGCTTCTGTGCATTAAAAAATTACACCTGTCATGTTTGATTTTTTTTTGGGTTTGCACACTTAATTCTTAATTTTCCTGAATAAAGATAGGAGAAAAAAAAAAAAGCACAGTATTTCCTGGGAGACTTAAATGGATTGTCACAGAGGCAGGAACATCAATTTGAATTTATAACATGCTTTGAGTCCTCAAAGTTGGTTACAACATAATCACAGGAGATAGTCTCCTGCATTAAGATAAAAACAGCAGAATTTGCAAGCTTATGTGTGCTCCCATTTCCCATATGCATTAGAGGAGCTCAGGCTCCTCTCATCATCACAAATCCTAGGAGAAAAGTCACGGTCTGTATTTCTAAAATGCAGCTTGAACTGCTTTTCCTTTCCGATGTTCCTTTTCAGAGATGCCAACAGCATTTTTTCCTCATCAAGGATAAAGCCCATGGCAAATTGGACATTTAAAAATAGCCCTACGGAGACACTGGTGCACGAGACAGACCTTGGAAATTCACAGCAGTGCTTTGCATTTAGGAGTCCTTTAGCTCTGAAGAACAAAGATGAACTTTGGAAGAGTAAGAAGTACCAAGGAGCAGGTGACACCACTCACTTTAATACCCATTTGAAAGGGCAGGGCACACTGAAGCCTACAGTGGTATTTCCAAGAGCGCCCAAGTCCAGGTTGCCTCTATTTTGGTGTAACAAACATAAGAATGAGTGTCTTTTTTTATATTTATAACTTATTTATTTTAGAAACTTCAAATTAACAGCCATAGAGTACCTGATACATCCCAATAAATAGATCTGGGTCTGACTAGGATGGTTCTACTCCCTGTAACCACAGTTGACACAATCCTTAATGGTGGGACCATTAGGTTTCCCCTTCTCCTCTGCCATCAGCCTCTGACAGAGCTTGGCTTCTGGGATTTTCTCCTGCTCCACTTCTTTGAAGGCTGTTGTGCAAAGAGGTGAACCTCACTGTGCAGCCTGAACACGAAGCAGGTTGGTGCACTCTGTTCCTCAGGATGGAATTCCCTGGCTTCACACGACAACTCTATCATGCACAAAGGCAACAGCCATCCCTCAGCACAACTGACACCCACACCCTGCAGAGAGGACAACTCCAAGGCTGAGGGTGTCACTCAAGTCCACATCTGACAGATTCATTTCCCTGAGCTACCACACACTAATAATTACAAATCACCTCCATTCCTGACAGCCAGTTTACGAGGTCTGCAAGTCTGGGCATCTGTGACTGCTTCATCCAGACAAACCACCTTTGACCTATTTTTTGTTGTTGAAGACAACTCCCTTCAGAGAGGTGTGAAGATAACAGTGAAGATCCACACTCTACTGAGCAACTTTCTGACCCTGGAACCTCCTCACACTTCTGCTCATCCCAGCTCCTTCTCCCCTGGTGTCCTGGTTTTTCTGGGATAGGTTTAATTTTCTTCTCAGTGGCTGGAATAGCTGTGGTTTGTTTTTGGTGTGGGATTCGTTATGAGAAGAATGTGGATAAGGTGCTGATGTTATTAGTTGCTGCTCATCCAAGATCATCGTGTTTGGGTAGTTTGCAGGTGGCAAGGACTGGGAGAGAGAAGCACAGTAGTTACCAAACCCCGAGATATTCCATATCATGTCACATCATGTCAGTACGTGAACCAGGGCTGACCGGAAGACGGGGGGATTCTCTCAGGGATCGCTTGGGCTCTCACTCATCTGGGGTTTGGGTTTTGGGACTGTCTCTGCTCTGGGATCTCTGGCTGGGACAGGCTGGGCATCGGTCAGCGGGTGGTGAGCAAGTGCACTGGGCATCACTCATTCGTATATTCTGTTATCACTGTTATTAGCATTATTATTTTATTTCAATTAGTAAATTGTTTTTATCTCAACCCGTGAGTCTCCTTGCCCTTTTCCTTCCAATTCTCTTCCCTTACTCCCTTGGGGTGGGGGGAGAGTGAGAGAGCAACTGTGTTTGGCTGCAGCCAAGGGAGTGAAACCACCACACTTGGGTAGGAAAACAGTGCACTGACACGGCTCCTACCTGCAGGAAGAACAAGTGCTGCGTAATTTCCTGGACCAGTTCCTCCTCTGCGTTCTCAGGATAAAATTTGGCCAGGAAGTGAAAGGTGACAGGCTCCTCTGTTGGAACATCATGATCCAGAACCTGTAGGGTACAAGAGCCATTCAGCTACTCTTTCCAGCCAAGACACAGCTCCCTTCTGTTCAGATCAGCACATCTTTTGTCAAGCACTTGAGTCATTTAGAACAGTCAAACCAACCTAAATAGTTCAGAAACCAGAGTTAAAAAAAGAAAACAAACAAACAAACATTTCTGACATTCCTAAGGATGCAAGAAAACAAACATGGTAGAAACAAACAGCATGTGAAATGAGACAGCAAAGGCTGATCCTGATCTGCTGTGCGCACGTTGCCTCTTCCGAACCGCGCAGCGCGGTGGCACATCCTGCTATGCCACCGTCCGACTTCCTTGCCATCTCCCTGTGCTGCCTCCTCCTGCAGTTCAGGGTGGTTCCTCACTCCCTCTCTATTGTGCTGGCACCGTCCAGTTCAAAGCCATGTTATTTTAAAACCTTGTCATGACACACGAGACACCCAGACCTCCCTCACAGTCTCAATTACTGCCTGGTTTTAGTGTAACATCCTTCAGATGCAAACAGAACCACATCAACCGCTTCTCTAAGCTGCCCCTGTGCAACCTGGAGGCTTGGACATTTGGGAATTGTTTCCTCCCTTATCTCCATCTCCTTTTCACTCCTCTGGTTTTCCTCCTCCCTAGCTCTTTGTACACCTCAACAACAAAAGAAGCCGAGATGCAACTTCACTGTCTGGCTCAATGTTTTGTCATTCAGGGCACAGAAGAGAGACTTTCAGGTTTCATTTCCATCAGAGTCACCCTGAAGTCCAGCATCCCAGCATGGCTGTCTCCAAAATGCCTCACGGGGATTCAGAGTGCAGTCTGAGGCTTCACAGCTCAGAAGGAGCTGGGGTGGGGTATCTCTGCCAGCTCTTCCCCCTTTGACTTACAGATGTCATGGGGATCAGATTTAAATACCCTTCACCCAGTTCACTTCGACACCACACGTAACACAACCTCAGGTAACCAAAGAAGGAGGAAAAAAGAACATGTTCCTTTATCATCCCACACCACCTCCCAAGGGAAATGTGCTTCCAACCTTCTTGTCCATTTTGAGCCAAGCCACGGTGTCCTTGATGGTGTATTGAAGCCCAAAGAACCAGGTTTCTCGGAGTCCCAGAGTCCTGCACACTAGATCAAACAGGTCCTTCCCCTTCCACTTCACCTGCAGGAAAGCAAACAGCAAGCAGAGTTACAAAGGTGGATTTCAGAACTCCATCTCCATTCAACCAAATCCATTCTTTTTTCACTTCACAACGTCTTTGGAAGTGTGGAAAAGGCATCTTGTCCAGATAAGGAAACAACATCCTAACACAGCACACTTTATACCTTCCATCCGATCTCCTCTGCCAATCACCAAATCCTCTCTCACTGGAAAATTCAGGTGGGATTTTTGCCACCCCTGCAAACACCACTGTCAATAAAGCCCCCCTGTTTCTTCCTCTGGCAACCCACCGACGTTCAACAGAGGACCTGACGGGTCTGTTGAGGCTCCTGTTGAGCCATGCACTGCTACGAGCAGCCTGTTTCCAGCAAGAAATAAAAATCACTCTGAACTGCCCCTCAGTGGCTTTAATGTCTCTACCCACAGCCCCAGGCAAACAACAGCAACAGGATTTCATAGACACGGGTGCAATGTGCTCCCAAAAACCACGAGTGAAACGATTTATGTACAGACTGTGTTCATCCAGAGCTACTGACCCTGCCCAGGTAAAAGGGAAAAATCAAATTATCCCTGAAGTCAGCGGTTCTCTCAGAGCAGGTTTTGACAGAGTCCAACTGTGTTTTCTGCTGAAAAAAAAATCAGGAACCACAGTAACTCAGGAGCAGAAAAAAATTGGTCCTGTTCAAAGACTGTGTCCTTCAAGCAATCCTGCAGCTGCATCTACATTGTTACCGAAGTTTGCTCATAAAAACAGAAGGTGTTGGGAGGCAGAAAGGTGAAGAGGGACATAAACCAGATGAATCTAATATGCCAAAGCCACTTTGCTCTTCCATCTGCACGGTGGAAACAATTGCTGGACCGAGACATATGGCCATTACTCTAAAGCCTGAGGGCGAAAGGATCTCGGCACATTCTCTTGTCACTACAACTCAATCTTGGTACCACCTGGACGGCATCAATATTAATGCTGAGGCACGGCAGGGAGTGCTGGTGTGGGCGCCGCGCCACTCCTGCTGTCACCCACTGCCGCCTCGTGGGCAAAGCCACCCAGGACAAGCTCACTGCTGCTCTGCTGGCTTTGACTACACCAGCATATCACCATTTTCTCCCCCTCCCAGGACACACACAGACACACACACACACAGACACACTGACAGTCCCAGAACAGAATAAAACTGACGCTACTCAAAAAAACCACCCCCCTCAGACAGCTTGCCACAGCCTTTCCGCAATTCCTATCAAGCCATGTCAACACCTCGAGGTCACACACACACACCAGGAGGAGCAAGTTTTGCAGTGTTATCATTATCAAACCCTAATCTCGCCTCCAGACGAGCTCCAGCACGGCACAGGATGGCTCAGATTGCAGAAAAAATCTTTCCCTGACTATTATTTTAAGAGGGAGGTTAATTTGAAGGTTCAGACAAAACAGAGCGAGACGTTTTTAAACAGCTATTCTGTACCATTTTTGTAGGCACATAAAACCAGGCTGCCATCAAAAGGCTATTTCCTTTTGATGGCAGAATCCTTCCAGAATTAAACTGCTTTGCACAAAGCGTTATCAGCTTTATTTTTTTCCTTCTTTCTGCACAGACCCCATTTCAGTCCGTTGTTTTACAGGGTGATTGGCGCCTGCACAGCCTGGCACCAAACCCTTCCCAGGACGGGCTCCTGGGTGTCGCTGCCGGCAGCGTCTCACAGATCCCAGAACACAGACTGGTTTGGGTTGGAAGGGACC